TCGGTCTGTCTGGGGAATGCACACCCCCTATAGCAAAAACTTCTCCAAAAAAAAAAAAAACTATATCTGCTCCTCAAGCTTGAGAGTACCAAAACTAAATGGGAAGGAAAATAAAAGTGTTAACAGGACAAGAAAAAAAGACAAAAAAGAGAATTTGCTATTCATTCAGCATATCATTCCACATTCTTCATGACCTATTCGTGTTATTCTTCTAAATATTTCTTATAACCAACTCTTTAGAGTGTTGACAAATATACAGAGGAACATAGTGTCTGACTTCTTAATGAAAATAACAACTCAAAATTAATCTTCCAATGTTGTCACCTTTGAGATTTTATCCCATTTATTCCAACAATGCTGCCATTAAAATTAAAATAATTTGAACTCCTTTAGATGATCTAAATCTCCTTCATAAACAAGAAAGCCATTTTTATTACTTTAGTCTCACATCAGTATATTCACCAAAATTACCCAGAGTGATCACTGATGTTATTTGGTAAACTCAGCTACTGGGTAATGATAATAATGATAATGACAATTCGTATTAATAGTACCTATCATTTGTCAATCACTTAACTATGCACTGGGTTGTCCTACACACTTCATATATATCCTCTCATTTTACTAACTTAATTATGTTTCTAAAAAATTGTATTTTGGGACCAGCAATTAGAGTAATGGCTATGTCACTGGATTCCCATGTAGTCAACCACGGTTCGAGTCCCAGACCCAGTGGCTTAAAACTCACGCCAGGCACATGTGCATGTGTGCCCAAGATCCCGAGAGGAGAATGGGGGAGAAGGGACTGCGGTGAGGCCATCCCCCCTGGGGGGTGATTTCTCACTTTCTGTCTCTCTGTCTCTCTCTCTGGTGAGTGCACACGCCTCATAACAACAACAACCAAAAAAAACCCTCTCCAAAAAAATATATATTTTTTCAAAATCAAAATCTACCTTAAAAGGATAAAATTCGGTGCCAAATAAGACATTTAAACAAAAGTATCACCAATTTTCAAGATGGCTAGAAAGGAGCTCTGAAAGCAATTCAAGAAAATTATATGACTTTCTCAGGTGAGTATAATCTTCAGGTGACGACGGCCTCACGTGAAGGTTCAAGTGACAAGTGACTACTCCACCTCACTTTATGTTTCTCTCTGTATCTGTCAATCACCCAATGAAATGGACGATTTGTCAGAAGAATGACACAAATAGATAATGAGGAATGTAGAATGATATGCTGACTATATACCTGGGTATGTAAGTCCTGATATGCTTCTTTATTTTTTTTGGAGAGGTTTTTGCTATAGGGCGCATGCCCTCGCCAGACAGACAGAGAGAGACAGAGAGACAGAAAGCAAGAAATCACTCCCCAGGGGGGATGGCCACACCACAATCCCTTCTCCTCCATTCTCCTCTCAGGATCTTGGGCACGCACACACATGCACCTGGCATGAGTTTAAGCCACTGGGTCCGGGACTCGAACTGCAGTTGACTATGTGGGAGTCCAGTGACATAGCCATTACGCTAACTGCTGGTCCCCCTGATATGCTTCTTAAAAAGAAACATAATAGGGTCTACAGGTGGCGTGGTGGTTAAGGGAGCTGGACTCCCACACAGCCTACCACAGTTCGAGTCTTGGACATGGTGGCTTGCTTTACTCTTTCTCTGTCCCTCTCTGGTCAAATTTAAAATAAATAAAATAAAGTTAAACAAAAATAATTATTTTAAAAATGTATAATATATAGTAATAACATACACATTATTACTCTATATAAAGCTTCTACACATCCCATGCTGTCTTAGAAGATCGAAAGGCTCTTTAAGTACACTCATGTGCCACAGAATGACCTTTCAATCAACAGACCACATGACAACGTGCAGCAGCAACAGGCTGTGCCACACAGCCTAGGTGTATAACAGACAAGACCATCCAGGTTTGTGTGATGACCCTCTGCCATGTTCATACCATGACAAAATCACCTAAAGATGCATTTCTCAGAACACAGACCCATGGTAAGTGACACGACTGCATAAAGTCATACTATACAGTGTCAACACTTTGAGAGCACTAAGTAGGAACTGAAACAACAGCCCATATAGAATTTAGCTTTTAGGGGGCTGGCAGGTGGCAAGGTGGTTAAAGTCACTGGACTCCCACATGGCCGACCACGATTTAAGTCCCAGACCAAGTGCCCCTTGTTTTCTCTCTCTCTCTCTCTCTCTCTCTCTCTCTCTCTCTCTCTCTCAATCTCTCTCTCTCTCCCATACTCCCTCTCTCCCTCTCTCCCTCTCTGTTCAAATCAAGATAAATAAATAATTAAAGTTAAATAAAATAATTCTTAAAACAAATTTAGCTTTCAGGAACTCTTCTTAACCATTATACCAAAACACACTGTCACAAATGTGCCTTTCCCTTTGGATTCTCTGATGACCACTGAAACAATAAACTTCTAAGAAATTACCCTAAAACAAGCAAATAATGAGTATGATGATACAGAGCAGAAGGCCAACGGAATGCTAAAGGACATTTAAACACTCAAGTCCATGATTTAACATGAGAGGAACTTACTCTTTTAGCCCCGCCTCAGCACTATTTCCAGATATATCTGACCCGAGAGAAATGCCAGCAGGAGACTGTCGTCCAGTGATGCCAGATGAAGAAAAGGAGAGTCCATAAGGTTCAAAATTGAGAACTGGAATTTAAAGCAAAGATAGAGGTTCATATTTAAAACAAAGCAAGAAACCAAAATCATCATTTACTGTGCACTACAGAAATAAAGAAAAATCCAGAGGCAATTTTTAAACTCTAATGGATCTGAGGGATGATCTAGTCAAATATTTATAGTAATAATAATAAAAAAGTAGTTACCATTTACTGAATGTCTACTGAAGAATTCATATTACTAGGAGATCAAGGGCAAACTGACTTTCATTTATCTTTATTTAACCTCACTTAGAATCTAAAAAGGTATACAATTAGGGAAGGCAACGTGATAAACCAAGTTCAGTGAAAAGTTGCTGCTTTCCTTCAGAAGTGTTCCCTGAGCATGAATAAAGAGATAACCATATTTTACTTAAATAAACATTCCTAGGCTCAATCTGGTGAATAGCTCAACGGATGTTTCTTACGCAAAAATTAAGAGGTTAAGCCAAAGGGCAGGGAGAAGTTCCAAATTAGTAGAACAGAGTTTGAGAATAAAGAAAGAAAAAAACTAGACATGGAAGGAGACAGTACTATAGAGCAGACAAATAAAATTTCAATTCTGAGACAAAAGAATTAAACTCTCATCTAAGGAAGGCCTGGAGAGACTCAAGGCTGAGAACTGAAGTTCAAACCATATTATTTTTTTAAAGTAATGATTTATTTCATTTTATTTGTTGTTATCATTATTATCATTATTATTATTATTATTTTAATTTGACCAGAGAGAGACAGACAGAGAAAGGGAAAGTGAAAAATTAAGTCACCATGTCTGGGACTTGAACCACAATCAGCCATGTGAGAGTCCTGCACCTTAACCACCAAGCAACCTGCCAGCCTCCAAACCATATTATATTCATTCTTCAGTGAAAATTCTCCAAGATCCATACACTGATGAATGACTAAAAGGACCAAAGATTTTGAGGCACTAACTAGATGCGCAAGAGTCAAGTGCATGCAGGGAGCCAGACAAAAATTTATGTACAGGGGCTGGCAGGCAGCGTGGTGGTTAAGACTGGACTCCCACATGGCCAACCACAGTTTGAGTCCTGGACCCAGTGAACTTGCTTTTTCACTTTCCTATTTTCTCTCTAATTAAAAAGTAATAATAAATAAAATTAAATAAAATAATTCTTTTAAAAATGCATGAACAAAAACAGGCAAAGGAAGAAAGTGGCTGAACTGCAACTTTATATACAAGATAATCAGATGAAGAAGAGGACAGGTGGCATGGTGGTTAAGGCACTGGACTCCCATATGGCCGACTATTGTTCCCAGACCTGCCAGCTCGCTTTCTCACCTTCTCTCTCTTTCTCTGCTGAGCACATGTGCACTGTAGCAAATAAAAATAATAAATTAAATAAATCTTTTAAAAAAAGAATAAGGACAGGGGTCTACAGGTGGTTTGGTGGTTTAGGTGCTGAACTCCCATGTGGTCAACAACAGTTCGACTCCTAGACCTGGCAGCTTGCTTTCTTAATTTCCCTCTGTCACTCTGTCTCTCTGTGGTGAATGTGCATACCCTCTGGCAAACTGAAAAATAGTAATAAATAAAATTAAACTTTATAAAGGAAACAAAGAAGGAAAAAAAATCATACCAGGCCTATGTGCATGCATACCCAAAATCCCAGGAGGAGAATGGAGGAGAAGGGACTACAGTGTGGCCATTCCCCCCGACCCTAGGGATGATTTTTTTTTCATTTTCCTGCTCACTATCTCTCTCTGATGAGCACTTGTGCCCTATGGCAAAAAACATTTAAAAAAAAAAAAAAAAAAAGGCTGTCATTAATATCAGGGACTGTGACTTAAAAAACATGATTGAGGGCCAAGGGTAATTCATGCAGAGAAATGAAGGCAGAGAGAGTCCTCAAAGCTGCAGTTACTGAAATAAGCCAGGTAAGAGATAATAACATGTATTATCCCACGCATAAGTAATTCAATATTTAACTCATATCCTTCATTACTTTAAAGGCCTCAATCATATACACATTCCTTTCACTTACCTTGTACTCCGACTCATTTTTTTCCCTTTACTTATTGTAATTTATGATTTATATATAATCATTACACATCTGCGTAGGGTACAGAATGGTCTTTAAAAGAATGTATAAGGATCAGCAGTTGGCATAATGGCTATGTTGCCAGACTCTCATATAGTCAACCGCAGTTTGAGTCCCAGACCCAGTAGCTTAAACTAACACTGGGCACGTGTGCATGTGTGCCCAAGATCCCAAGAGAGGAATGGAGAAGGGATTGTGGCGTGGCTATCCCCCATGCGTGGCTAGCCCCCATGGGGGGTGATTTCTCACTTTCTTTCTCTCTGTCTTTCTCTGTCTTTCTGGCGAGCACACACACTCTAAAACAAAAACCTCTCAAAATTTAAAAAAAAAAAAAAAAGTATAGTAGCAGGGACAGTAGTTGGTGTGGTGGTTGGGGGCGATGGACTTCCACATGGCCAACCGTGGTTCGAATCCTGGACCTGGTGGTTTGCTTTCTTTCTTTCTGTCTCTCTCTCTCTCTCTCTCTGTCCCTCTCTGGTCAAATTAAAATTAAATAAATAAATAGTTTAAAAAATCTTTTTTTAAAAAAAGCATATATACGGTGTGCAATAAACAAATCAGTGACATAAAACATATTCACCATCTTTAACATTTAACATCAAATTATGTTGTGAACATTCAAAACCTGCTCTAATGGTTATTCTGCAAGTATGTATTGAACTGTTTACAATGTTCTTTACTGTGAGATACTATTCTAAAGAAAAACATATTGATTAAAAAGCAGGCAACAGGAGCTGGCAGGTAGTGTGGTGGTTAAGGCACTGGACTCTCACATGGCTAATTCCAGTCTCGGACCTGGTGGCTTACTTTCTCACTCTCCCTCTCTCCCTCTCTGTGTCTCTGTCTCTCTCTGGTATATCAGAAGAATAATAATAAAATAAAATTAAATAAATAGTTCGGAGAAAAAGCAACAATCTCACAAATTAACAAAGATAATATTAGCCAATGAAAGAATTTGTAATTTCCATGTAGAATACTGTGGGAGATAAGAGTTTATAATATGAAAAATATCTGTGGGTATCAATCATCGGTTCAGTTAGAGATAGGTAAAATTGTACATAACAATAGCTCTTCGGGAAGAGACAGAAAAAGAACACTTTTACTTACACACTGTGAGTTCTTGTTAAGACCAGAATACTGTGCTGTGCATAAAGGAGTAAGTACTTGAAAAAACAGTAACTAAACAAAATCAGAAAAAAATGTTTAAAAGTGAAGACATGGTAAAGTCAGTAACTTGGTGATGTGCAGACTTTACAAATTTCTTGATATTAGCCTTTTTAAAATTCATTCCAGGCTGGTGTGACATGTACTCATTTTACAAGTTGTAGTGATGTACAATGATTGAATGTATAAATAAATTAGAAAATAATTTAAAAATTCATTCCAGGGGCCAGCGGGTGGCATAGTGGTTAAGGTGCTGGGCTCCCACATGGTCTACTGTGGTTTGAGTCTTGGACCTGGCGGCTTGAAACACAACAGGTGCATGTGTGTGCATGCCCAAAATCCTGAGAGGTGAATAAAGAAGGGATTGTAGTGTGGTCATCCCCACTAGGGGGTGATTTTTCACTTTCTGTCTCTCTGTCTCTTTCTTCCTCTCAGATGAGTGCACGAGGGCATGTTTTCTTTAAAAAAAAAAAAAAAAAAAAAAAAACTCTTTAAAAAAGAATTTTGCCAAAGAAAGACTCAACTATTTGTAATATTTTGTACTTTTCCTTTGTTATCTGGTTTTATACAATGAATAATGGTTATAATAAATATATAAAAATAGGGACCAGCAGTTAGCGTAATGGCTGTCGCTGGACTCTCACGTAGTCGACCACAGTTCGAGTCCCGGACCTGGTGGCTTAAACTCACGCCGGGTGCGTGTGCATGTGTGCCTAAGATCCCAAGAGGAGAATGGAGGAGAAGGGATTGTGGCATGGCCATCCCCCCTGGGGGGTGATTTCTCGCTTTCTGTCTCTCTGTGTGTACCGTCTATTGAATAACTGGTAAATTTGTATTAGGTTGTCAAGAATGTCAATAATGTACTTTTCTATGCCAAAATGCATCATAACTTTCCCAAAGACCCACTATTTAAGTCTGCTTGTGTGTAAAATAATTAAATCTGCATTTTTAGCCTTTTAGTTGGCAAATTTAGTTCTGACGCTCAATGTTGTTATCAATATGTGCGGCCTTATCCTTTTTTTCTAGTTGTTTTGTGTTCTCTTACTCCTATTCGTCTCCCTTTAGCTTTACTGGCATAATAATTCCTAAGTACTTCCTGAAGAGCTATGTTCATTTTGGTGAATTCTTCCAGCATTTGTTTATCTGGGGCTGATTTTATTTCTCCTTCTCATTTGAAGGATAATCTTGCCGAGTACAGTACTCTTGGCTGATACAGCTTCTCTTTCAGAGTTTTAAATATGCCTTCCCATTCTTACCTCCATTGTTTCAGTTGAGAGACCCGATGTTATTCCAGTTTGTATGTAACTTGGCATTTCTCACCTGCCATTTTTAAAATACTGTCTTTGTCTTTGATTTTTACTAATTTGGTTATGATATGCCTTGGAGAAGATCTTATGTTGTATCTATTTGGTGTCCTTTGTATTCCCCTGGATATAGATGTCCACATACCTCTCTAAGTTTGGAAAGTTTTCAGCTAATAAATTATGAAAGATGTTTTCTATGCCTTTCCCTGTCTCTTTACCTTCTGGAATACCTATTATGTGGCCATTCAGCTGTTAATGGTATCTAGAATTTCCTGTATATTGCCTTCATTTTTAATGAGGTTTTGTCTTCAAGGTCAGAGATCCTTTCCTCTGCAAGGTCTAATCTGCTGTTGCTACTTTTGAGATTGCTTTGATTTCCTGCATCATATTCTTTATCTCCAGAAATTTCTGGTTCTTTTTCAGTGTGTCTATCTCCTTTCCTCCTTCAAGTCATGGAAGGATTT